GTCCTCCATATTTGTTCATTTCCAGCCATCAGCATGACCTGAAAAACTCCTTTCTGTTATTGTTGATATATAGTTTGCAGTGAACATACTGTCCAATTTACAAAATTAGCAACATTTTAATCAAAACCATAATTGAATATATTAGAAGCAGCTTATAAATTGGCCATTATAGTATCTACACCGGCACTTATTCTGGCTGGCTGCCATATAGTGGGCATCCATCTAGCTTATAATGTTAAAGCATCATTTAATTTGCTACCAGCATTATGTAATCTATTGGCTAATGTTTCTATATCAAAACCATTCAAAGTCCCTGTTAATGTCCCATAACCTCCAAGCATGGTATCATACCATGCCCGTTTAGTACGTGCAAGCTTTGGACAGTTCATAGTCCGTGGAAAAACAATTTGAGCATGTATTATAGTCTTTTGGGCATGTTGCCCCACTTTTTCACATGTAGAAGGCAATCTTTTAATATGTCCAAGGTCAATATGAGTAGTGCTTGAATTTACAAAGAATACATACTGACCCCACTGTGATCTTCCTTGGATTTCACTGACATTGGTACAAATCATAATGATTGTCTCATTAAGAGCAAACTGAAAGACAGTACTTGGTTTAGTCTTAGCGGTACAGTTTCTTGTTACAGACCTCCTATTTGCAGCTGACAAATAAATGAAGCTTGCTTCCTGTTGGCAACAACTAACATTTACTCGAGCTGTTATATTCACTTTTCCACTGTCTTTATGTAATGCATACGTCGGACGGTATCTGCTTCTAGCCGGATCAGGAGCCCCAGCTCACATACTTCCATCGAAGGTAATATTCAAAATATTGCAAGTTTGATTGGCAGGACAAGAAAAAGAATCCTGTTGCCAGTTTTTAGTTGAGTTTTTCCATCTCAACCCCACTTTACTTTGATGAGTGTCAGTCACTTTAGTTCCTGGTGTCCAGGCTTCAACGGATAAAGTGGCTGACCACCCGATACCAAGGATTCCAAGGACGATGACATGTTTTAGCTTGATCTGTAATCAGAAACAAATTTCAGCTCTATTCTCTCAAATAAAATGTTTCCTGAGGAACATATTCCTATTTTTCTATTCCAGGTCTCATGATTAACAGGGTTTGGTCCTTGCCAACTGCTATTACTTCTGCAGGTTCCGGGGGACCAGATCCCCCTGTACCCAAATTTTAGCCCCCACCTTAACCGTGTTAGTAGAGCCAAAACCTTGGTCTCCTCTAACCTTTAACTTTGTTTGAGCTTCGCCTTCTTTAATGTTAGTGATATACAAAGGAATCAAAAACAATTGAGCCACCCAGTCCTGGGCTGGCAAGATCATGGGCAATACCAATACCTCCATACCAATAATATATTCTTTTATAGGAACTATCAGTAAAGGGTATTTTCTTAAAGGTAAATTCCCAATGTTTAAGGTTACTTCAGTTTGTACACCTTCAGTCACCTTCCCCCTAACCCTAATATTTTTACTCGGGGTCCTTTGAATTTCTTTGGATTACCATAAATTAGAGTAGCCTCCACCCCCCCGTGTCTACTAATGCTAGCACTATTTCTATATTACCCCCTTTCCAATGGATACTCACCTGTACATACAGTCTATCTTTTTTTTAAATCCATATGGGGGCTTGGCTGGCTACTCATGCCAAATTATCCTCTTGCGATCTTAACAGATCTTTGGGGGAGCTGAGGCTGTCTGAATTTTTTAAAGCTACCATGGTTGCTATTTCTTCCCAGGGATAGATTTTCTGAAATTTATCCCAATCAGGGAAATCTCCTACACCCGTTTTCCCCTTCTCCTGTTCCCTTCCTGTTTCTTGTCTACATCCTTATGTTCTTTTAATCTTCTGCACTCTTCTTATCAGCCTTCCTTCCTGACAGCACTTTTTGCTTATATAATTTCCACAACACTTGTGTATCTTTCCCATCAATGTGTTCATTAGGAACTACGGCTTTAAGTAAAGACTGGAACATATCTTCCCAGGACAAGTGATTATCCACATTCCCCTTCTGAGGGGGAGGTGAGTTATTGCTCTCTCTCTTATCTCCAGAGGAGGAAGATTTAACCCAATAACAACATACACATCCGTTCCATTCTGATTAAACACTTCTCTCATTCTTATCAATATAGTTAAATCTGGGTTCTTTAAAGACATGTTACAAATACACATGCAAAGTTTAGCAACAACATAGAATACGAATGTTAGCAAAAAAAAAAACAAAATCAGCATATCTACTTTTTTTAAACCATCAAGCTTATAAACCATTTACCAAGTCTCTATGGTTCTCTATGATTTCATAGCAGTCTGGGGTCTCAACAGATATGTTATGTATTCATATACAACACTCATAGTCAGTAGTGAACTCACACAACTCGGTCAATGCTATACCCATTTGTTCTATTTTCATTTCATTCATGAGCACCCGTTTCCTATGTTTTAGTGCCGGCCTCAGTTTTAATTCTCCTACATAACTTAACACAAGAATCCTTGTCTAATGATGCATGAAAATCATAACACTTTATCCATTTACTAAGATATTTCACATTTTTTTCCTTGTCTTGCTTTGGGCAAGATCTCTCTGTGCCCCTTATTCCACTGTATCCCCAGGAATTTCATTACCTGAGACGGACCTTGTATTTTAGCCGGATGGATTTCCCAGCCTTTGGTCCTCCGGGGCAATCATCCCAATCATCCTTAGATAAAGAATCCCACACATCAGCATCCCACTTATCAGAATTCCAATCCACTGATGCTGAGGCTATTGTTTTAGGAACCTTACTCTTATTAACTCTTCCCTTCCTCTTTCTGTATTTATTTTGGGCAACTTTTACTGCAGCCTTCTCTGCAATATTCTGATAATGCTCTAGTTTATCTTTCAACAATTTTTGCCCACATTGCAAAAGAACAATTTTACCTTCTTGTCCTTCTTGTCTTCTGCTCTAGTTGATGGTAATCCTTCATTACCTGATGTAATTTCTTATGAATCTTCCTTTATGCAGTTAGCAAAATCCAACTGCGTCTGCCTAAAGCTACTGCATCACCTGCCTTGGCAGGGACCCCCTTGAGTACATTTACAACATCAAGGGGTTTGATACCTAAAGCTACTACATCACCTGCCTTGGCAGGAACCCCCTTGAGTACATTTACAACATCAAGGGGTTCTGCCTCTTTTAGTTTACTCTCCCATGATTCAGCCAAACCCTGTGTAACTAATTCTCTAGCAACAATATTATATGGAGCCTCGGTCTAGCCGGGTACCTCCACTTTTTCCTCACTTTTGTCTTTATTCTTCTTCCTAAACATTGTTAGTTCTCTTCAAATGGGGATGTTAGTTATATGTTTCAAAATTTTGGAAATGTGCCAAATGGGCGTGACTCTGGTCAGAGGTTCCCCTCCTTTACTAGTTGAACCTCCCAAAGTTCTTTCCCTCTCTTAACATCTATGTCAAAAATATACTAATTCAAAACTTTTGGCAAAGTGCCAACAGGTTCAAATAAAACATCTGAATGCACACTTTCAATTTCTGTTCTTAATTTTTCAATATCACGTTCCGCTGTCCTATAAGCATTTGAACCTTATTGGCAAAAAGTCAATTTTTGAGATTTTGCACAAAGACTCTTCTGCGCAAAAGAGGTCTCCGCTGAAAATCCCAAAACAAAATAATTTAAAACAACAAAATTTTCCCCAAATTATCCTTATTATTATGTTTTACCTGCTCAAAATTAAGTCTGTGACTCACTCACTATCATTCTAGATAGGCAAAGATTGTCTTTTTAGGTAAAATAAAAAAAGTATATTTATTGATATTTAATATTCCCTATTACAGGTTATAGCTAATCATATATAGAATAAATCATAAAGAGTAAGCATCAATACATCACCGGATATTGTAGCATCACCCTTCGCCTTGATTGGGGGACTTCCAGCAATCGGCGAGGAGGAAACTGGGAGAAAACACCGCAAGACACATCTGTCACACCAAGATTAAGTCCCGTTTTCTCCTCAGAAATCCCCCCTTCTTATAAGACAAAATTGTTATTTCACATGTGTATCTGCGCAGTAGATAAGTTCCAGCGTGTGAACACAGCGTGGGTTCATGCTCAGTTGCTTGTTCTCATGGTGTGCCCTATCTCATAACAATAAGTAGTAATTTCAGATAAAACCAGTTTCATTCCCTTCTGCACAAACGAATCTGAACTGTAATAACCAGTTATTCCGGTAATAAGGAAACCAAGTGTTCAATTATAATCTTTACATTCACTCTTATACAAACTTGTCACACTCGTATCACACATGGCATACTGAAAGCCCAGGCATACTGACATCCAGAAATTTTGCACGTTGCTTTTGAACTTCTATGGAAAAATCTGGAAATAAGGATACTTGAACATTATAAACCAACAGGTTACCCTTGCTGCTGGCCTTAGAGAGAATAATATCTCTGTCCCAATAATTGAGGAGTCTAAACAGAAAAGGCTGAGGAGGAGCACCAACTGGTAGAGCACATGCTGGGACAGTGTGCACGCTTCACTGAAAACATGGGGGAGAGTACATCACTGCCAAAGGTAGAGGTCAGCCAGGCTTCAATAAAGGCTACAGGATTTTTACCCTCAGCATGCTCTAGTATGCCCACTGCATGCACATTGTTGCGGCGTAACCGATTTTTCCAAATCTTCTGATCAAGAGCCATTAGTAGAAGTGATCGATTGCACATATTGCACATCCCTGTGTCATAGTTGCCAATCATCTTCCAAAGTGCTCACTCTCCCCTCCAAGGCTGCAGTGTGATCCTGCAGTTTCTGCATATTTTGACACACCAGGGTCAATTCCACAATTATCCCATTCACCTCCCCAGTAAGAAACGCAACAGATGAAGTGCATGTAGTAACCGCAGAGAGAATCTCTCTAAGGGCGGGTTCAGGATTATCTTCAATAGAAACAGCAACCTATGTCCAATGAGACTGGGATGGTGGGATACTCACTGCGGAACTGCCAGTCTTCCAGTGCAAGAGGGATCTGAGTACAGCCTGCACAGTCTAAGTCTGAAGTTGTTTTTAGGAAGTTTCCCTGGTGAGCGGCCTGGCAAATAACTTTCCTTCCTTCCCCTGTTTAGCCATCTCGGAGCAGGAGAAACTGCACCAAGTGAAAGCAGAGAGGGCAGAGCACACCCTGGGGACCAAAAGTGCCGTTCAGACTGGAGAACGAGGTGCCAAACAGGATAAACGACAGGATGCACAGCGGCGCACACTAAGCACACGTACTACTGCACGAGTATAAAACTGGCAGCCCTCCAGTTGTTGCCAAACTACAAGTACCATGAGGCATTGCAAGATTGACAGTTACAAGCATAACTCCCAAAGGCAGTGGCATGATGGGGCTTGTAGTTTCGCAACAGCTGGAGGGCCACCAGTTTGACACCCCTGTCCTACTGCATACAATGCTGGCCATGCCCCCCCTTACTTCCTTTTTTAATGCTCCTGATGTGCTCTTATATCCTAAAGGCCAGCATTCTTTTTGTTCTACCTATCTATTGCAAGCTGCATTCGTATTCTATACAATACACCACCCCCTCTGTTCTACAAGTTATGCAGTCACGTATAGCATACTGTACTCCCGTACTGTGAGATAGAAAAGTTTTCCTTTTGAAGATATTTTTTTACGCTTTTACATCCAAAGCATCTGCCGCAGGCAAAAAAAGCCTTTTCTCGTAAAAAAAAAAAAAGACACAATACTATTAAATTGAGGTGGATCCACAACATTCCTCACCAACCTGTCTTTTAGACTAAATGCTTTTTTTTATAAATAAATTTGGGATTTGGGGGTACTACATTATTCAACCATTTGTCCAGAATCAAAATGCCCCAATGTTTCCTTATAATGTGTTCCACTTTCTTATACTGGTAGTTATTATTATTATTTATTATTATTAGACAGTATTTATAAAGCGCCGATAGTTCTCTCAGCGCTGTACATTACAAAGGGGGACAGAACATGTGACAGAACAATACCAATACAATGCAAAACATGAGGGGATCGAGGGCCCTGCTCTTTCGAGCTTACAATCTAGAAGTTATAGTCCAAAATGATTGCTGCTAAGTAATCCTTATTCTCAATATTTTTTCTCTCATCCCGGATTAGATCTTTTCTATCTATCCTGTCTACACGTTTCTTTTTCTCTTCTAGAAAAGCTTTTTCATATCCTTTTTGACAGAACATCTCACTAATTTTTGTGGCTTCTCTATTATATTCATCTCCTTCTATATAATTCCTTCTGATCCTTGTGAATTGCCCTGTAGGGCTATTCATAAGCCACATTTTGTGATGGCAACTATCCATGGTTATGTAACTATTTCTTTCGGTGGGTTTGAAATATGTTTTGGTAATAATTCTCTCCCCCTGTTTATACAATACGAGATCCAGGAAAGGTATAGATTGCTCACTGATTTCCCATGTTAGTGCAATGTTCTTTTGATTGTTGCTCAGCTTCATAATAAATGCTTCGAGGGATTTGCTATTTCCTTGCCATATTGCAATGATATAATTTATGAAGCAATGGTACAGGATACATTCCCTGGGTTTATTGTCAAACACTAAAAATAGGGGGGGATGTGAAAAGAAATTTTAAAAAAAGCGGTTACATTATGAACAGAAAGCGATACTCAAAATTACTCAAAAAATTATGCTTTATTACAAAATTTTATGTATAGACATTTCAGGTCAATACCTCAGTTAGCCATCACCTCAAAATGAGACAGTACATAAAGTATGACCTAAAACCATTTAAAAACAGACGTCATTACTGGTCATATGTAATAAGGTGCTGTAGATATAATGACACATGGTCTAGTATATACGCAGCACTGACACAAAGGTTAGACCACCATGTAGGGAGTGTTTCAAAAAATTGTACAATACGGCTAAGCATAAAATTGCAGTGATAATGCTATAATTAAGTGATAGCCAGATCAGATGGTAATAATGATGGACATAGTAAGCAAAAATAGGTGGTGAGATTTCAAACAGCAACAGTCATGTCTATAATACTAGATAAGATGAACTTGATAACCATGGTAATATCACCATATAACTTCCACCATGTGTAGTAGAAATGGTAGGGCCCTGCCAATGTCTAAAGGGGTTTTTCACCACTACATGCGAGCTAAATACCTCCTTTATAGTAATAATGTGATGTAAAATGCAGGAGCATCCGTGCCTTTTAGTAAACTTAGGGTGCTATGCACCTTTCAGATTATGTAACATGATGTCCCCATCCTGTCACTTTAACCATTTCAATACCGGGCAATTTTACACCTTCCTGCCCAGGCCATTTTTCACGTTTCAGCGCTCTCACAATTTGAATGACAATTGCGCGGTCATACAACATTGTACCCAAACTAAAATTTTATCATTTTCTTCACACAACTAGAGCTTTCTTTTGGTGGTATTTAACCACCGCTGGGGTTTTTATTTTTTGCTAAATTAACAAAAAAAGGCCAAAAAGTTTAAAAAAAAAACACATTTTTCTTTGTTTCTGTTATAAAAGTTTACAAATAATTGTTCTTCATAAATTTAGGCCGAGATGTATTCTGCTATATGTCTTTGGTGAAAATAACCCAAATTAGGATGTATTTTTTAGTTTGTAGGAAAGTTATAGAGTTCACAAACTATGGTATAGATCTGAAAATTGATCAATCCTGAAGTACTGACAGCTAATCTAATTTTTTGAGGTCCAAGAATGTCAGAATAGTACAGATATCCCCCAAATTACCCCTTTTGCAGAGTAGACAGTCTGACGTACTTCATAAGAGGAATGGCAAGTTTTTTGAAGTTGTATTTTTTTGTCATAATTTTTCGGAAAATGAAAAATAAAAAATTAAAAAAAATTATTTTCACTATTTTTTTTTACATACTGTCACCAGTGCAGTACAGCATCATCATATAACTGGCATGGCGGTGATCAGGGACACTGACTGGTGACAGTACGAAAAAAAAAAATATATATTTTTTTTATTTTTTTTATTATTTTTAATTTTTTTATTACTTTTTTTTTATTTTTTTTAAGATTTTTTAAAATATTTTACTATGACCAAAGTAGTACAATGTTACCATAGTAACATTGTACTACTTTGGGGAAGTGATCAGTATTTTTTTTTTTTTTACACAATTTCCTTATAGCAAAGAATTACTTTGTTATAAGCAAGCATTTACCTGAATGACATCGATTCATGCAGGGTTTTTTTTTTTTTTTTTTGTGCTTAGCTGTGATTTGGCCACAGCTAATCACATGACATGTGCATGTGACCTGCTGTGACCATTCACAGTTAGGCACTAGTATACAATGGATGGCATGAATGAAGCCATCCATTGTATACAACTGTCATGTGACCTGCTGTGATTGGTCACAGCAGGTCACATGGTACCGGCAACGGGGGGCGGTATTCAGATCTGTCATCGGCCGTGTCCGAGGTACACGGCCGGTGACAGATCGCGCCGCTGCGCTGCTCTGCATCCGCACAAACTGCGCATGTGCGGGAGGACGCCAAATGGTGTATACCCCGGAAAGCTAGAGCATTTTTGCGGCCGCCAAATGGCTATAGGCCAGGCGGCTAATGGTTAAATAGCAAGGCAATGGTAGCAATACGCCGTGTTCCTTTTGAACATGTTATGTAGCACTCACCACCTATTCCTTAGGTGATAGTCTGGCAAAGTCTCTCTCATCAAAATACCCACTCATGGTCCCGGAGGCAGCCACCATCGGGACGAGAGACAGGTGGGTTCTGCTTCCACCCTGGTACTCGTGCAGCCTGGTAAGCACAGAATGCTGGCGTGTGTTACCGCATCCCCTGCAGGACTACGTGTATGGCGCCAATACGTTCTGACCAGAAGTGATGTAACTGATGTGTGACGTCAACGTGTTTTGCCGATGGGAGTATCTTACTGAGCTTGGTCCTGACAGCTTAGTTTCTGTTCATAATGTAACCGCTTTTTTTTTGTGAATCTCTTTTCACATCCCCCTTTCTTGGTGTTTGGTTTTTAGTTACTGGGCAGATACTGTACGTTTAGCGATACATCTAATCTATGAGCCATTATTCCCCTCATTTTACTATTGTCAAACACTACCTGTTCCCATCTTGCCATAAATAAGTTTGCGACACTTGGGGCAAATTTTGCCCCCATCGATACTCCTGTTTGCTGTTGGTAATAATTGCCGTCATACCAAAATTACCCATGTCCTAAACAAAACTTCAAACAATTCTGAATATACTTATTTGTCTGCTCCCAATATGATTATTGTTATTTAGAGCCCATTTTGTCGCCTCTATGAGTTTTGTATGGTTAATGATCGTATATAGTGACCCTACATCAGCCGTTGCTAGGATGATTTCTTTTGTGTCTTTTATTTCTTCCAGTAGACGTAGCATATGTTTTGTGTCTTTTAAATAGGCTTTTGTCTCTTGCACTACAGGTTGCAGAAAAACATCAATATATTGTCCAAACCTCTCTGTAACTAATCCAATTCCATTTACTATTGGTCTACCCTGGGTGTTATACCTATCCTTATGGATTTTTGGTATACAGTAAATGACCGGCACTTTGCGTATTGTCAGTACTAAGTATCTTCTTTTATATTCAAGATTCCTTTTTTCCTTTTTTAATAATTTTTTTCAACTCTTTTTTTATATCTCACAGTAGGGTTAGATATCAATTCACAGTATGTTTGTTTTTTCATCTTTAACAATTTTCTCCATTTCTTTTTTATAGTTATCCTTTGAAAGGATCACAAGTATCACATCGCTTCTCAGCCTTTTGGCTAAGATTAAATGTAGTATTGACCTTGGCCCTTATGGATGTCCCTGCTTCCAGCTAGGACGTTGAGAGCCTCTTGTTTCTATCCAAGCCATTTGGTCCGTGTGGGGTAGCCTCTGCTCGGCCTTGTAGGATCGTCGATTAAATTCGGTATCACCTGCTTGCTGCTATAGGGTTAAAGGCTTAGCCCCCACACGAGTTACCGATCCTACCTCTTCCCCCC